AAAAATGTGCATTCATTTTTAGAAAAAAAAATTGTGAGACTTTTTAATAGGGGGAGATAACTCCCAAAACACCCAGTTTTCACCTGTGCAGAATTGCATGAGTTAATTAGCAGGTAATGTAGCTCTTTCAAGAGGTGGAAAATGTACCCTGAAAGCACACTAAAAGAAAACCTTAGGACTTGTTCTGTGAAATGCATGCAACTTATTTTGTCTGATTTTTTCTGTTTTTGTTGAGCAGGGGGGTTAAAAATGCATAGGTGCACTGAAAATGGATGCGTAAACAACCCAATATCCCCCTTATTTCAGGTGTCAAGTACCCCCTAGTAGTAATTGATGAATGTATTATAGTTGGATATTTACAAAATTCACAATTTTATCTTTCCATTGATATGCAGAAGTCTATGTAACAAGCCTCCATTTTATTTTTTTATAGGGGTCAGTTTTGCATGTCCCTCACCAAGTAACGTCCTGATAACGTCATACATAAAACTGTGTTTTGCACCCTTAAGGAGTAGCATTTGATGACATTTCCCACATTTATTTGCCTGTAAGTTCATAGAAAATTGCTTTATTTCTTTTAAATTATGTAGTAAACCATACAATATAATCTCAGGTTGACACTGTGTAAGGCATAATGCCTATTAGATACATGTTCCATAGAATTTATACATATGATAAGGATTCAGGGGCTAAAGTTGTTATTTTACATTATGACGCAACAGCATTGTGACATCAAAGTGTGACGTCATGTCAAAAATGGAAGCTTTGCAAGGTCATGACCTTCAATTTAATTGATCGCAAATGAGAATATGTATCTTCTGTATAGATATACATGTGACATAGACCTATTGAGTATCTAGTTAGGGTGACACCATCCAGATGTTTTAGGCAATCTTCTGATTTAAGACAGTGACTATTTCCAATTAGACCCCCCCCCCCCTTGTTCATACAGAAAGTAGCAATATCTGTAAAAATTGTTTGGCAGCTTTTCAAAAAATTTATAATGTAACATTTTATTGATATTCAAATACTGTATATTTCATACTTTGTGTTTTTTAAATTGAAGAAAAATAAAATTATTGTGTGAGCTGATTCGGTTAGGTTTGAATTTCTCTTCGAAGTCCTGTTTTATGCGTCGACTAATGTCGTAGACATGTAATACTAAATTTACAATAACTTGCTCATTTCTGGACCAAATTCAACAATTTATACACCAAAATGTTTGGAATTCTGTCCTCTTTGCACCTAAATACAAAACAGTGAATTGCAAAAAAAAATTATTTCCTTTAAGGTAGCTAAACACAGTTTCGTATAAAATCCAGGGGGTTTTTCCCAGAGAGAAGCATGCTGGGTAGGGATTTTCCTGCTATTTATAGGAGTCTAGATGAAAACTGCATCTTTTTTGTTTTTATTCGCATAAAGTAGAGTCTTATCTTAATATTTAAAGAAAAAAAATGTGCATTCATTTTTAGAAAAAAAAATTGTGAGACTTTTTAATAGGGGGAGATAACTCCCAAAACACCCAGTTTTCACCTGTGCAGAATTGCATGAGTTAATTAGCAGGTAATGTAGCTCTTTCAAGAGGTGGAAAATGTACCCTGAAAGCACACTAAAAGAAAACCTTAGGACTTGTTCTGTGAAATGCATGCAACTTATTTTGTCTGATTTTTTCTGTTTTTGTTGAGCAGGGGGGTTAAAAATGCATAGGTGCACTGAAAATGGATGCGTAAACAACCCAATATCCCCCTTATTTCAGGTGTCAAGTACCCCCTAGTAGTAATTGATGAATGTATTATAGTTGGATATTTACAAAATTCACAATTTTATCTTTCCATTGATATGCAGAAGTCTATGTAACAAGCCTCCATTTTATTTTTTTATAGGGGTCAGTTTTGCATGTCCCTCACCAAGTAACGTCCTGATAACGTCATACATAAAACTGTGTTTTGCACCCAATGAACATTTTCTGGCGAAAGACCTCATCAAAGTTTTACAGTCTGGAAGAAGAAAAGAAGGCTAGACATCCTAAACAATGAAGACAGAAGGTAAATTTATGTATATACTGAGCATTACAAAAATATCAAGATTAACAAATGCATATTTTCTTAATTTTATTTGCCTTACAATACACAGTTATTTTACCGGTAGTGGTCAGTGGTCCTTATCAAATCAAGCGAACTATACCTTTTGACAGTTTGACTTTCTGACCAGTGAATTAATTATTTTTATTAATAAAAATGAATTTGAAGCATATAAACATCACTTGGTGATACAGCTGACTCCCCCCCCCCCCCCCCCCCCCCCCCGAAATATAAATGTCTATCATGTCTATAGGGCCTATAGAGATTGTATAAAATCTGTGCCATTCAGTATGTTTACTTTTTATGATGTGGTGAGAGAGACTTTTAAGTGAACATTATTTATCTTTATAGTATAAATTTCCACTTCTGTCAGTTTTCATTCATTGTTTATCCTATTATTTCAATTCTTTATTGGCATTAGGCACATATTTTACAGAATTGTGTTGTTAAAATATTAACTAGAGCAAGTTTGTTTCTATAATAAAAGTGCATCAAACGTTTATAATGTGTGAGCACAAGCATAAAGTAGCTAAGTTTTTTAAATAGGCCTAGTATTCTATATATCAGCAAAATATGGTCATGTGATGTTCATAAGCAGAAAATAGGAAAACACCATGTTTGTTTTGATGTCATTGTTTTATTTAATAGCTTCTATCTTTTAAACTTAAAATTTATAATATATATCCAAAACTGTACTATATGAATTGACAAAATAGATCTAGGTTAAGATTGCACTGGAAATATTGAGTTATTTTTGTTTATATAGACTCTTTCATTCGTCTGTGAAGTACCGGTACATAATAATCTATAATTCAATTTTGTGTGAATAATGATAATCTTTTCAACTAGCAAACAGTTAAAAAATATATATGTACACTTGTACATATGTATTAGTGTCAAAACAAAATTTAACCATGTTAACTAGAGGTACTGTGAGCAATGAGCTCACTAAATGATACCCCCTGCCTCCCATATGGTTATAACTGATGACAAATCCATGTTTTACTGTGGCCAGGAAACCCAAAATATGCATCGAATCAAAAAGTAAAATAGGAGGTGCACAATGGCAATATGTAATAAAGATTCTGTGAAAGGTTAATTAAATGTCACTCATTGCAGTGGTATACATGTAAGAGGAGTTGCGGATAATAAGAGATGGGTACCCAAAAGCGTAACAGACAGACGGACGTACAGACAGATGGACGTACAGCTAGATGGACATACCGATTACGGTATATCCTACCACTTTTCAAGTGGAGGGTATAATAAAACTATATACATGTACATGTATGTAGAATATTCACCTCTGATTTATAATGATATTTGTGTTATACACACTGACCATGTTTTATAATATTCTAAAGAAATTATTTGATACTCAGGCAAATATTCACTACTGGTAAGATGATCACACACATGAACATGTCTGTGTATGAATGAAATGAATTTTCCTTTTGATCATGTTCCTAGGAAAATAATTATTTTCATCATTTTTTCATCAAAGGATTTACCATATAAGATGAGTAAAGAAAAAGTAAGACCAGTAAACCAAAACAGGACCAAATAGGCCATGACTGAAGTTCAAGTGCATTCTGCAAGAAAGTGGACAGCCTAGATTTTGTTCTTTTCAAGGTATTACCATTCTTAAAATATGAAAGTAAATTAAGGACAGATGATACAAACAAAAAATGGATGCCTGGATTGGTATATATTTTTTGGCATAATTTAATTGCAAATTAATGATGCTATTAATAAATTTCTAGAATATTAAGAAATTGTAAACCTTCTGTGATGTTCAAAAGTCTGCCCTCTTGAAACTATCCTTATTAATCTTTACAAATATTTTTCACTTCAAATTCCATTTTTATGCAAATATGAACTAAAAATTAAAAAGTACTTGAAGAAAGTTATTAATTTTACTGATTTAAATATGACCCCAGTTGTTATTTTCAAATTCTTTGACAAAAGTTTGTTTGTATCATCTGTCCTTTAATTGTTAAAAAATATTTCAGTTTTATATCTAAATCTAAACCTTGCTTATTTCTTTTTTTTTAAACAAAATTTAATACCTGCCCAGTAACAGAAGAATTATTATACTAGAATAAAGAAAACAACTTTCTAAAGGATTACATACACATTTAATTAGCTTGAAATCAGTGTATATTGGAAAGTGCAGGAATTATTTACCATTGCAGGTTGAGAAGGGATGCCATGTTTAAAGCTGAATTCCAACCTACTTCAACATACTTGTACTGTCTTCAAGATATCAGTGTTTGAGATGTCAAAGTTCAAATATAATAGGAACATGTTTATCATATTATGTGATGGCATCCTCAAATCTTATGCTGTAAAACAATATGTTTTAGAACTTATCATGCTTTATTCTGTACCTTGCCAAAAAAAACTCAACTCAACATAATTCTCATTAACTAATTATCAGTGTTACTTGCATATGTCAATGTAAGTCATTATTGGTACATGCCTGACCAACAAAAACTCTAAAATTGAAAAATCAAGATTTTCAGAGCAGCAGAAACAGTAGAATTTGTTATGTAAATATAATGATATGTACCGTAGTTGAGAATACATGTACTCTAAATGTTGCATATATAAAAAATAAAAAAGCGAAAAGTTCTCTTGTTTTCAGAATTTATATTAACATGTGAAAAAAAAAGAAAAGGAGATTGATATAGTTGGTGTGATGAGATGTTGGCAGGAACCTAGTAAAATGAAAGGAAGAACTTCCTTAAAATGATACTTGTGGGGGACAGTGTCTCATTGGGGGGGGGGGGGGGGGGGGCATTGTTTCAACTGACTTTACAGAATACAAACGATCCATTGCAAACCTAATTATTAATTATATGCCAAACACTATGTTTAAAGTTTTCCATTGTTGGATATTTATGTTTGAATCCAAGTTAACTTACCCAATAGGATGTGATTTTTTTTAAACCAATGTAATTTTTCTCAAGTTTAAAGCCATGTTTCATAAGTTTTAAAAGAAAAAATCAGAATGGGGGGGGGTTAAATTTTTTACTTCATTCAAAGTGTCTGTGGTTTGCAGTTGCCCATGAATTTAATAAGTAATTATACAAAGTAAGAAGTTGAAATGAGTAAAATATTATGAATGCCCTGCTTGTTTTAGTTTCATTTCAGAATTTTTCAAGTTTGACCAAATCTTGAAAAAGTAAAAGCCACAAGGTTTTGCAATTATTTGGCATAGCATTACAAAATGCATTATATTTTTGCAACATCATAAAGATGCAAATTTAAGATGCCAAAAAATTTAGTTCACATTCACATTTAACTCATTACACAGGTTTTGTAAAAAAAGTAAATAAGTGTAGTTTTGGGAATTAAGTTAAACGCAGCCATTTTGGTTAAAAATCTGGTATTCCTGTCTCCATGGTAACAAATCTTGCATTCCTGTTTCCATAGTAATAGAGAATGGATAGGGAAAATTTTATTTCATATAAGTTTCAATCTAAGGGGATAGGATAAGGAAACTTGATACATGCCCTGGTTAGTCTACATGTACTTCAAAATTGTCAGTTTTACGGAAGGGGGGGGGCATTTTGTGCAGGTGTTCACAGTTCTCTTATCTAAGAACATATTTACATGTATTATTGCTCTTGGAAATGGGATGTGAATATTTTTACATGACACTTCTCCTAGATATGGACTAATTTTACTGTAAATGACATCAAAACAGGTAGAAAGGAACATATCTTTTCTATATGAACTTAATGATTTTGGGTAATTTTTCATCAGCTTTAAAAAAAAAATGTTGAAGTGTCCCATAAATATTTTAATGTGTTTAAACTAACTTATGTACCATCTATACAATGCACTGTTTCCTGAATTTCAAATCAGTGTGCAAAGTATTAAAAAATGGCTTTGAAAAGGGGTCTAAAATGGTAATTTTCTCAATTTGGCAAAATGCCAAAATCCCCAAAGCTAATCGTTATTAAGCCATTATGTAGAATTACAATTTTTAAAAAATTATGTTGTTATACTAGAGAGGACTAATGGTAGTTTTGAAACAAAAGTAGATTTTCCCATTCTCTTGCTTCCTTTAAGCTCATTTTTATTCAGTAAAACCTACAAAATCACGTTTTTTGGTCAAATTTTAGGAAGAATTTACAGGGGAAACAATAGGTGCCGTTACCATGGCAACGAGACATTTTTTGAAATAAAAAAATATAAAACCATGAATGATGTGACAATGTGAGTACACACAAAAAGTTTCATAGAAATTGAAAATATAGCGTGGCCAAGCATTATTGATATTGTTTGATAATTACAGAGAATTGATATTAAAACGTTACTTCATTTATATGAAAATTCGACATACCCAGTAAAGTCGAAATAAAGAAACAGTGAAACTGTCCCATCTTTTATTATGTTTGCATATACTGATTAAAATGTGTTTAGAATCCAAACACTTTTCTGTACACTTCGTTGTCACGTTCTTTTTTTTAATACGTTTATTTCCTAAACATGTAAATTTTCTAAACGTGTATGACAGTGTTTACAATCTAAACACTACAAATTACACTGTATGAACCATCTTCACACAAGTCATGTAAATCGACACAAAAAAAAATCGACGTTGGAATATATCCAGCAGCAACGCATTTTTTTTAAATTGACAAAACGTTACACAACACTTCAAAATCAAGAAACAGAAGCACAAATGGAATTAAAATGGACGATAAAATCAGACGAATTCAAAATTGTGATAAAAGACATCGTTTCTGAACTCTTTGACAAAAATAATTTTTTAAAAAAACTAGAAAAAAAATTTCAACAAAAAACAAGCAAAACAAAAGGAAGAAAATCAAAACCTTTTAGTGCCATATTGATAAACCTGTTAAAGTGAACAGGGATTTTAAGATTGAATACAATGATATCAATACGGCATTGAACGATAAAAGCCTATAGAAGCAAGTTGAAGTAAACAAAAACAAACAAGCTCATTCAGAGAATTTGTGTCCCCCGCTTAGGGAAAAAGTAAACCCTGCGCAGTTTGGGGAGGGGGGGGTGTCGGATCCCGCCTGGGGGGATATTAAAATTTGATTGCTTATTCTGTATTATATCTATAGAAGATTCTTTTCATATGGAATATTTATCACAGTGTAATCCTGATGATTTTATGAGTTTGTACAAGCCACACCTTATAAATTGTTCATTTCACATGCTGAATACTATCATTTAGTTAAGAAACTTGTAGACGACATGGACCTCAATTTTCATTTTCGAATTTACTATGTAATTCTACAGGAAAAGTAAATAGATATACAAACTTAAGACATTTAAAAGATGAGCTAGCCTATAGTATAATTTTTACAAGGTTATAGATTTAATGAGAATCGAGTATACCCCCCTCCCCCGAAACTTCGTTTACAAGGGCATAAAAAGAATTTTAATCCTTGAATTAACCTATAGAAGCTGCAGCAAAGAAGCAATTACTTATGTGTACACTTGGAATGAACAGAGTAATCGCCCTTATTGGACATCTTCAATGACCTTCGCCTTCAGTATACGGAAGGCAGGATCGGTTATACGAATATTTGTTTACAGAGTTTTAATGTCCAATTTTAATCCTCTAAAGGATGGTAATTTTTATAAGAGTGGAAAACTGGTTATACTTCAATTTATTTTTCTAATTTAGTCAGTTTATATTATTTAAATTTGTAAGTAGATTTTTTATATGATTTTTTCTGATCTTGTCGTAGTTTCTCGCCCGGGCCTCCATACATTTTCATTCTGATGCAACCCGGCATTGTCGTGAAACATGGCTGAGGACGAGCTGGTAAGAAAAAAAAATTCAATATGGCGACCACTAGCCCCCAAACGCATGGTGTATTTTCCTCGGTAGTGTACATTTATGTGGATACACTATTTTATTTTATTCACTGAAAATTAAATGAAGAACCATTGTAAAAGTTGACCACATGGCAATATTATTTTACACGTAACAACGCAGTTTCTGGGTTTGGTATATTCCCAACGATTTTATGTATCATTTTAAAGATATTTCAAAGATACCTAAAATAGAATTGAAAGAAAGGGAGAAAATATATTATCCATCATTTTTGCTGAATGCAACATAAGCTGCAGTCAGCAGTGGATCGGTAAGATATAATGTGCCTGATAATTCTAAACTTGTCACATTGCTGTGATGGAGCAAATCCTAAAAAAAAACATAAAACATATCAAAGATCCTCAGTGTAGGACTATATATTACTTCCATACACACAGAGCAAAAGCAAGCAATTTATATTTTGTTTTTTTTTAGTGTGTAATACGTATTTTAAAATTTATTTTTTGAATTTTTAATATTTTCGCGATAGACCCCATTTGATCCCACAAACATGAAAAAGAAGAAGAAAAAAAAGAAGGTACCATTTGAGTTGGATGGAGGGATGGAGGATAATGAGACACCAAGCCCCGCCCCTGTGGAGGAAGCCCCAGAAGTTCAGACAGAGGAAAAACCAGCAGACAAAACAGATGATGGTCAGATACACTTACTTTAGTGCTATTATTGTAAAGCTGATAGAAATTTTATGTAACCATTTAAATTATAAGTAATATTTTAGATTTAATGTTTCAAATTCGTGGATTATAAATTATTTTCTATATCTGTGTCACTGACACTATGATTTTTGGTAGCTGCAGGTCTAAGGGTGAAACGTTTACTGAATTTTGTAAACGTTTAAACGGATAGCAGTAAACGAAATGGTACCGTTTAAACGGGAGATATTTTTTGTTGGATTTTTATGGCTATTTACTCATGAAACTCGAATGTTAATAATTCTTTCACTTTAATATAAGTATGAGTTGTTATTACAATTTCATTGTTGGCCATTATGACATAAGAATTTGAGGCGCATTAAACTCATTCACTTTCTACATCGTCACCCAACTGCACTGGTTTGTTTGGCTACATACCGGACGTTCGAAAAATAGTAAAACGAGACCTGCCGACTGTATCGAAACACTCTTCAAAGAATTGTGAAAAATGTATTATATTTATTTAGTCAAAATATATCAAGTTTTGTATTTCAAGTGTCATAAAACATCGCTAGTATTCGCAACTTGGAAATTGGAATTAAATCATAAATGTGTTAGGCCGTATCGGGTTTTAGATATTTTTATTCAATATTTTTCCGGTATAGATTGTTGCTTATCAAATGGTCAAAGACGGTGTTTCTTTTGTAAATTATGAAATAAAACAATTTGTTTGTGTTAAACTTTATTTCTGATAGACATTGATAATGACCTTCGTGTAAACGTTTACTCAATCTGTAAACGTTTAGAGCATATAATCGAAACGTCGCCGTTTACACGTGTAATCGTTTCGCCCTTATGCAGGTCTGTAGCTCGCTTGGCTAAAAAAAATTGGGATGGATGACCAGAGAGCTTCAGTGCCAACCATAGAAAAACTTTATTTTTATTGTGCATTAAAAGTTGCTCTCGGTTCTGGATTCTTTTCTCCAAATTCTTACCTCAATTGAAATAAGGATAAATTTGGACAAATTCCTTACTCCTCTATCAAGTACTCTTATAGTTGACATCTGCACAAAACACTGGACCAAATTATCTTGCAAAGCAAAATGGCAGTATAAATGGGCAAAATTTTCGATGGCCTCAATTTCAGGGCTAAGAGAGCTATTAACAACAGTTGTTTGGATTGTTTAGTTGTGAAAACAGTGAAAAATTAGTTTGGAACACACGTTTAGTAATATTTTTAGATGGCAGTTTTAAGAAAATGGAGAAATAATGGAAAAGCATCACACTTTTTTTGCGGACATAAATATATTATTATTCAATGGGTGGTACTCTAGCTCTCAGATTTGTCAATATACTATTTTATGGAGAGCTACAGTTCTGCAAGTAGATTTTTGGATGAGAAAAATGTCCCCGATTTTCAGCAGAAAGAAGAATGATTTTATAATTTTTTAAGAATTATTCTCAAATTAAGAAGGTTACTTTATTCTCTAGATTTCTCCTTGGACTTTGGGTTGAAAAAGAAAAAGAAGAAAAAGAAAGCGTTTGATGTCAGTGAGCTGGAGGAAGCTTTGCCAGAACCCGTCAGTATTTCACAGACTCTGTCTCTTACATTTTGAATTTTTTAAAAAATATTTTTGTTTTTATGTGCACCTTAGTTATATATATCAACATCAGTTTTTTATCCCCAAATATTTTTTTTTTGCTTATTTTCTCTGACCTTCCATGTTACTTGCCCATTACATGCTTCATGTTTAGAAAAGAATTGATTTCTCATCTCAATCATCGACTATCACTGATAATTAACCGTTAGTGAACCAGAATACAGCATTTTTAAATTCGATGTTTTTTTAATCAAAAATAGGCCTGTGAATATTAACTTATTTAAATCTAATCAAATTCAGTGCTAAGGGTGTAAGTTTTATTTTATCTTAAATTGATTCATTGATTTGTCTTTATTTATACTTGATAATTTTGAATTAATTTATAGGGTCCTGAAAAAGAGACACCAGAACCAGAGGCCACAGAAGGGGTAGAAGAAGACATGAACTTTGCTCTACCTTTGAAAAAGAAAAAAAAGAAGAAGGTAGACTTCACTATGATTGAAAATGAGGATGGAGATAAACAGAACGAAGGTATTGTTGTCTGTTTGAAAGAAGGTGTCTAGTAGTGAAATTTATTTTAACACTTTGGTTCATTAATATATTATATAGCTGCAAATAAATTATTCCATAAAGGATTTATATTTAACAAATTTTCAGTGCCAGAAAATAAGTTTGGAAAATCTTTGCTGAGCCAGATCCATTTTCTCAGTTGTGCTCATTGTGTTATTTTTAGGAGACTTTGACCTTGAGGATCGCGTGGGAGGGTCAGTCCCTGAGGGTAAGGCGTGGCTGGCCTCCGACAGAGACTACACATATGATGAGGTACCCATATGTATTGTATCGGTATTTATCATGAGATATTATGTAATTCTGAGAGTCATGTGAGTTGTAAATATTTATATTTTTCCAAGTCTTTGTTAAAAGTTTGTGATATATTTATTTATGTAGTTATTAATGAATTTCATAATCTCTAGATGATAAATTGTTAAAAAGTAGAGCACTTCAATCTGTGCAATATCTGTAATCCAAATCATTTATGACGCTTACAGAAGTACAGAATGTATATTATGAATTACTTTAATAGGAAAACTACAAGTTACTAGCATTACAGTGTGATAAATTTTACTTCAGTTACTGACACGGGTGTTTGATATCATACGAGAGAAGAATCCAGATATGGTAGCCGGGGAGAAAAAGAAGTTTGTCATGAGACCCCCGCAGGTGCTCAAAGTCGGAACAAGAAAGTCATCTTTTGCAAACTTCTCAGATATTTGCAGATTGTGAGTTATTTTGTCATTTTTTGTAGATGTAAAATAAAAGGAGATGCTGTGATATTTTTTTGTTCTGAAAATAAAATGCCATGAAAAAAACTACATAAATGGTAAGTAAATAATCACTGTATGATCAAATAAACTTTTGTTTTTATAATGCAGGTTACATCGACAGCCCAAACACGTCCTGGCCTTTTTATTGGCTGAGTTAGGAACAAGGTAGTGTATTCGTTATTGTTTGTGTTGCATTTCTGTAATGAGTGTTTTATCGGAGGATAACTTCTCATGATAAATGTGACTTGTGATTTGTAGTGGGTCTGTGGATGGAAACAACCAGCTTATCATCAAAGGAAGATACAACCAGAAACAGATAGAAAATGTCCTTAGAAGATATATTAGTAAGTAGAGAATGTACAGGAAATGAGTTTTAGTGCCTTCTATGACAAATCTATGTTTGTCTCCATTTGGAGAATGAATATCAATGTACATGTATAAAGTACTTGCCAATTAATAGTAACTGAATGTTAAATAACCCCAACATCTTGTCCTGACAATATTATACACTAAACTGGTACTTGTTTTGCAGAGGAATATGTGACCTGCCACACCTGTAGATCACCTGATACCCTGCTTCAGAAGGATACCAGGATTTTCTTTCTGCAGTGCGAGACGTGTGGATCCCGGTGTTCCGTCACCAGCATTAAGTCGGGATTCCAGGCCGTCACAGGCAGGAGAGCTGCCATTCGAGCAAAGACATCTTGATTCTTATTTATTCTCTGACTTAAAATTCTTTGATGTCTTTCAGTATGTTGGAGTTGTTTATACCATCGTAGTTTGTTAAAACAAACGGAAAATTTACAATTCCTAGAGAGGAAGCACCTGTTCAGAATATCAAATTCCATAGACATTCTGTATGTATTGTGTACATAGTGTAACTGTATAGCTGCTTTATTAAATTTGTCCGAGATTCAGAATGTTGAATATACAAATTATAAACCTTTCAGCAAATGTCATGCTGCAACAAATGCAAAAGATTGTTTCTAGAGCTCATTGTGTAATTGGGTAATCTGTCCAGAGAAACTGGCAGGATGAATGGGTTCATTCTTTATAATTTCATTGTCTGTGTTATCAATGACAATAAATGTATTATGAATTCAGTGTACACTCTTGTAATTTTTTTACCAAAAGATATAGCCATTCAGTGTTTTATTGGGCATGAATATGTACTTGTATAACTTTTTTTTTCAAATTCAGTGACCAAACACCTTGTAATCATTGGAACAAGTCATCCAAAATTAAGGGAGACCATTACAATTTACTGATTACAAGATCACTGCCAAAATTTTTATAATATACATTCAGGAAAATTAAATTATATAGAACATTCAAATATGGAACCAACAATTATTGAAAAAAAGTATGACTTAAAAACTGCATATTTAATTTAATTCTAACGATATTATCTGCTTTAATATTACTGCAAAGACCAAGGAGCATTGTTAGTCATATAAGTTTGTGCATGTGACTTGATGAATGTGCTACACACAGTGTAATAACTTTATGTATAATCTCGTACTGATGAGACGGGGGGGGGGGACATCAATGTAAAACAAGAATTTTCTTTACACTGTGGCTAAGTATACGTATATAGAAGTTTAAAAGAACAACAGAGTTTGAAAAAATATCATGACTACTGTATAGCTCAGAATTTTCCTATTACTAAATCTTCATGAATTTTGGTTATTATTTTAGTAGAAAAGCGAAAACTAAAATGTTTGCGAGCAGAAGATCTTGTGTAGTTAAGCAAAATTTAAGTTATTGGGTATAAAAGAAATGATTTACAGTATATAAAATTGATTTTTACCTCTATCAATTTCTATTTATAGATAATCGTAATGAACTTGCAGATGATGAAATAGTGTACCAGACTTGCAACAGACTCAAATATATAAACTCCAGCGTGAACAAAAAATCCAGTCCTTAACTTATACATCTGATCATCATCTTGAAATATAAAATTGGATTATGGTTCAAAATTTTCTATCGATTCAAAAGAATAAGTTTGGTAGGTAGATATTTATATATTTTTTTTCTTCGTATCCTTTTTTTAATTAAAACAAAAAACTAAAGAATGTCCCGTCCCTTCAAAATTCAGTAGTGTTTTTTTTTTTTTTTTTAAAAGTTGTGGTCCAAGAAACAACTGTAAGTTTAAAGATAAAAAAAAAATTGATAATAACGTTTAACTCAGAATACTAATACAATGTATGTTATTATTATACTATGAGTTAAAAAAAAATATATCACCGAAACAAGTGCCTGTGCAATGGACTTTTCAATATGAGATTCAAGAATGAAAATCCCCTGTTCTTAATTTTGTATATACTAGTATTTGATATAGCGCATCTTTTTTTTTTTATAAATTATTTCCTCTGTTTTGTATATAGTTTTTGTCGCCGGAAAGGGGAAGAGTAAAGTAAGTAAATCTCCATCGCAAACCGATCCAGACTGAGAGACCTTAATTCTAATACTAACATACTCTGGTGCAATGACAGAAGAAAACGGAATAGCTGTCCATCCACAAAACAAATTACTATACCCCGAATCTGGTGGATCTGACAAAGATAAAAGAGGGATGGAACTCGAAAATGAGAAAGGTGCTGTATTGTCATATTCATACATGTGTATTTCTTTGGGATTTTCTTTTTTTTATAGCTTGAAAGTAATGCATTTATTTTGATTTGATCTTGATTTTATCAAGATCTGCTAAAAAAAAAATCAGGCCACGCCGGGTACATAAAATTTTATTTAAAAAATGAAGGCACATATATCATAAAAATTATTTACCGTGATCTTAGTCGTACATGCATGTTTATTAATTTAGTAAATTTATTACAACTTTTTAAAGGTTTACGACCCCAGGAGAACGACAGCATCCTCTCCGATGAATTGAACTTTCTTGGGCGTAAAAAGAAGAAACGGAGTAACAAACCAGGTCTGTTAAGTTTCACTTAGGCCTAAGGGTCCCCACACTATGTGACTTGGGACGTATATAGAGAAAAAAAATTACTTTAGAAATTCTTTTGCAATTTTTGTATTACCAAAAGAAAAATGCATCTGGTGCATCGCCATAATATCTTCCTCTCTGGTAGATTATTGAACTTTCATGATAATGTCAAGAGCTATTGTTGATACACTTCCAATTATATGTATTACAAAAATACTTTTTCCATGTTAAACAAGAGTTGATATACATCGTACGGTGTGTTTTACTATATAAAAATCCCAAAAATTAGTCTCCAGCATGGTGCAGTGGGTAGAGCGTCTGATCTAGAGTCGCGAAGTAAATAGTTGATCCTTGCGTCGCGGGTTCGACTCCCACTTTGGACGAAAAGACCGGCCCTTCGGATGAGACTGTATTAATCGAGGTCCCGTGTTGCAGTATGTGCTGACATGAAAAAAAAAATCTCTCCCTGCTCAATGGCCTTAAGTGTCGAGTATAGCACAAAATTTGCAGCTGTCCATCGGCAAGTGATGGCGTCTCCATATGAGTGAAAAATTCATGTGAAAAAAATGACGTTGAACAACATACACACACATACATACACCCTTACATACACATATTTCATAGTTTTTATTATCTTAGAGATTTTTGAAGTGTATGGTAGGAAAATGAACATTTTGACAAAGTGCCATAATCTATGCTTTATCTTTTTGAAGATGACTCCTTTAAAGAGGAAATTCCAGAAAATATTGATGAATTGAAGGAAGAGAGGAAGCTAAGCGAGGGGGATTATCAATATGAAGAGGTAACACGACACAAAATACATGTATATTACATTAATAAACCAGTGGCTTTCTGTTGTTTATACTACCGTTTGTAATTGTTTGTAATCATTTTTCTACATTAAAGCTTTTAGATATTCTCTATAATGCCCTGAAAAAGGAACATCCTAATCTTTGGGAACAACAGAATTCTAAAATGCGGATCCCTGCTGTGTGCGCAGTCAAGGAAGCAAAAAAAACGGTCTTGCTCAATTTCACAGATATCTGTAAAGCGTAAGTTTTGACAAGCAATTTTTTAATCGACATAACAGACAACTGCAAAACATACAAATCTAAGTCACTTTGGACAGGACCCCCTCTTAAGTTTGAGAGATAAGACTAGATTAAATTCAAAGTTTAATCGACCTCATACGTAGTCGACCTCATACGTGTAAGGCTTCCTGATTTCCACTTTTTTATTTCAACATCCTGTCTCTTTTCATCCGCTTCTTCACACTGCTTTCCGCGATTGGTTTTCTCTACTTATATGTAAGTTATCACCTGCTTGTGGTGTTGACGTCTTCTAACGTATTCGATACTGAGAATGATCAATTTTTGAAGCGAGGCATGCTATTACTGATAAATTGATGTTACAGGAATGTCAACTTACTTGTTTAAAGTTGCCATTTCGTATTTAATGTTGACAATCATTCCAAAGTTCCATTTGGTTATCATAATTGGACTTAAATGTTTTTATATCCCCGTAATCGAAGATTCGGGGGTATATAGTTTTGTCCTGTCTTTTCGTCTATCTGTCTGTGTGTTTGTTTCTTTAATATATATCTTTGTCTGCAAAAACTTTAACCTTGTCCATAGCTTTTCAGTGGATGGAGCTATGGCTTTCGTATTTCATAGGTGTATTCCTTATCTTTGCTTCGATACTTTGTGACCTTGGCCTAAGAGTTTGACCCATTTTTACCAAAAAAAATTTCAAACTTCAACCATGGCTGTAATTTTTGACTAGTTGATGCTACGGCTTTCATACTTCATATCTGATTTAATGTGAAAAGACCCATTAGTGGATGTAAAAAGTTTTGACCTTTGAACTTGACCTTAGAGTTTGGCCCACTTTCAAGAAAACTTTAACTTTGGCCAAAACTTTTGAACTTTTAATACTACAGCTTTCATATTTCACAGGTGTACTCATGTTAATTAAGACCTTCCTTTGGATACCAATAATTTTAACCTATTGACCTTGGAGTTTCTCACTTAAAAAAAATTTAAATCTCGACCATTTTTTTTGAATGGTAAATACTATAGGGTTTTCATTTTCCACAGACGTATTCCTTGTGACAAGACTTCCTTTGGATACTGTCCTTTCTGACATAATTTGTTTTATCAAATAAATTCTGCAATATGACTATTAAATAGCTATATTGCAGAATTTATTTTATTAAATAAATTATGTCAGAAAGGACACTACCAACAATTTGACTTTTTGACCCTGACCTTGGAATTTTTGTTGTATTTGAGAAACTTTAACCCTTGCCATAAGCTCCCAAATGGGGACATAAGTATTTCACAAAACATCTTTTTTTCATTTAATAAAGATATAGAAAATTTAATTTCTTCCTATGTACTTTTTGACTGAATTAAGCGTTGAGGTCCTGAAAATGACGTACAATAAGAAACACAAAATACTATCCTGAAAAAAGATAAGTTTAAATTTTAAATTTATTCTTGAATAATGGCCGAGTAGTCGGAAAAACAGGCAAATAAGTGAACCATTTGACAACCATACTTGAATATGTGACTTTTTAAACAAAGAAGCAAACGAACATTTACACTTTTACACTCTTACACTTTTAGAATTCACAGACCTCCTAAACACGTACTGGACTTCTTATTCAGCGAATGTGCGACAAGGTACAGTTTTAACTAAATTAAATTCATATGCAAAATATTTCAAGAGTTTTTTTTTAAATGATATCAGATGATACATGTATTATAGAAAAAGAAAGGAGTCTAATTTGATTGAGAAGGTTAAGAAAAGAAATGATTCCAAATCTATTTTTAATACTGGACTGCCATCGGCTCAAATATTTCCATATCTACTTTATCGGATTATCATCGGCTCAGTCACCCGCGTGGCGCAGTGGTTAGAGCGTCTGCTCTAGAGTCGCGAAGTGGGGATTTGATCCTTACGTCGCAGGTTCGAATCCCATTGTGGGACGTGGGGACCGGTCCTTTCGGATGAGACCATATAAATGGAGGTCGCAGTGTCGTGTCGTGCTGGCACGAAAAAGATCCTTCAGTGCTCAATGGACCTGAGTGCCGAGCATAAGACAATTTGCAGCTCTCCATCGGCGAGTGGTGGCGTCTCCATATGAGTGGGAAATTCTCGTTACGGAAGTTAAAGAACATACATTGAATCATCGGCTCAAATGACTCTATATCTATCGGATAATCATCCGATTAATTGATGCTATATACCGGTATAAATACCGGTATCAACTCAATCGAATTTACAACGGCTCAAATGTTTATGTCGACTTTGTCGGATGCCATTGTCCCAAATGATTCTTTATAGCTTCTTTATCGAATTGAGCCACTGACAATACGAAAAAGTAGATATAGAATCATTTGAACCACTGACAATCTAATAAAGTAGCTACATAGAATCATTTGCGCCGCTAGCAAACTGAAAAACTAGATAAAGAATCGTTTGAACCGCTGTCAATATTAGATAAGATTAGATAAAGTAGATAATATTAGATAAAGTAGATTTAGAATCATTTGCGCCGCTGACAATCCGATAAAGTATACGTATTTACAGAATCATATGCGCCGCTGCCAAACTGATAAACCAAATAAAGAATCATTTTAACTGCTAACAATCCGATAAAGTAGACATAGGATGATTTCAGTCACTGACTATCTGATAAAGAAGATACAGAATCAATTGAGTCGCTGACAATCCAATAAAGTAAATAAAGAATCATTTGAGTTAATGACAATAAATCAGATTAGATACAGAATCATTTGAGCCGATGATAATCCGATTTATCGAATATTCAGTAGCTCAAATGATTCTTTTCTACTTGTCAGCGGCTCAAATGATTCTATGTCTTCATTTTTTTAGGATTGTCAGCGACTCAAAACATCCTATAAATACTCTGTCGAATTGTCAGCGGCTGAAATGATTCTGTATCTACTTTATCAGATTGTTAGCTGCTCAAATGATCCTACATGCAGTTTATTAAACATTATCAGCGGTTCAAATAATTTTTATTCGATAAAGTAGATAAGGAATCCAATATCTTGTCAGCGGATGAAATGATTCTGCATCTATTTCATCGCATTGTCAGCGGCTCAAATGATTCTATATATATAGCTACTTTTTGGATTGTCAGCGGCTCAAATGCATCTCTTTATCTTCTTTATCGGATTGTCATCGGCCCAAATGATTCCACATATTAAATTTTATCGAATTGTCAATGGGTCAAATGATTATATATATATCTATTTTATTGGAATGTCAGCGACAAAAATGATTCTGCATCGACTCTTTCGCATTGCCAGCGGCTCAAATGATTCTATATCAAATTATTCTAAATCTATATTTTTATGGGTTGTCCGCGGCTCAAATGATCCTGTGTCTTGTTTATTGGTTTGTAAGCGGCTCAAATGATTTTATATCTAGATTATTGGTTTGTAAGCGGCTCAATTGATCCTATGTGTAGTTTATTGGTTTGTCAGCGCCTCAAATAATCCTATGTCTAGTTCATTGGTTTGTCAGTGGCTCAAATGATTTTGTATCTACTTTTTTTGTCAGCGGTTCAGTTGATATCAAAAACAGAGTTTGTTTGAAAGGAAACTTCAAACCCTCAGGGCTCCAGAAAGTCGTTACAAATTACGTCAGTGAGTATACGTAGAAATGTACACCTTCATAACGTATACATGTATATAGGCAATGGTAATTATCTATCAGAGAGATTATTTCTGAGATAATTTGGTTATAATATTTTTATTCTTGCTCTACATTAATTGGACGTAATTGAACCTATTTCCTATGTTCATACATGTACATACATTATTTATTAACATTTGTCTAACGTTTCAAATGCACAGCATTCAAATTAGATTTCTTTCCTTTTTCGAAGAGCTGATGTTTTTATAAATTACAATAATGCAATTATTGGAGAAAAAAACTCATCTACGAGTTTAAGTTTGTTAAAATGAGTCAATCCTGTAAAGTGATATTTTAAACATGCTGTTTAAGTTGAATGCAAATCGTATATGTTATTTTTGTTTTTCTTTTTAGGAGAATACGTCATGTGTGCCTCCTGTAAATCATTTAATTCACTTCTTATTCGGGAAACACGCCTTAACTTTGTTCATTGCGAGGGTTGCGGATCCAGGCGGGCGGTGAATGCTGTCAAATCAGGCTTTCGAGCAGTTACTTCTCGAGACAGACATCGATAGATGTCCCACAAATGTACAATTATTACTGATCAATTATCTGGTGTTATGTGTACATAATCGCCTGCTTTTGTAGATACAGATATTAAAAATAAAAGTTTTTGAAACTAATTTTTGCAACCAAAAAATTAAATTCAAATTCCATTATAATGTCATATGATGTTCTGTAACAGAAGCAGCAATATTTTCGTCCCAGGGACAAAAAGTGTAGATCTCCATTCTCTTATCAAGAAAATTGGAGGACACACGGATGACTATGCACAATGCGTGGTTTGGTACATATTGTTCTTAGGGATTGGTGATATGCATACAAAGCTACTTATGGGTAGTGAGTAATATATATATATATGTATAACTTCCTAGTCTAGTGGTGAGGATTCCGCGCTCTCACCGCGGCGACCGGGTTCGATTCCCCGTCTGGGAATTTTTTTTTAATTTGTATGCCCCCGTAATAGAAAATTTGGGGGTATTTACTGAAGTTTTTGTCGTGTCCGTCCGTCTGTCTGCTTGTCTTTGTCCGCAAAAACTTTAACCTTGCCCATAATTTTTGATTTAGTGGACCCATGGCTTTCATATTTTACGTGTATTCCTTGTCACAAGACCTATCAATGGGTACCACCAAATTTGACCTAGGAGTTTGATACTCTTTTACACAATAATTCCAAACTTTTACTTTGACCATAACTTTTGAACGGTAGATACTAGGACTTTCATACGTCACAAATGTATTCTTTGTGACAAGACCTTGAGTTCCATTAGACCTTTTGACCTTGGAGATTTTCAAACTTTCAAAAAACTTTAACATCAGTCATATTTTTTTAACAGTGAGGGCTAGGGCTTTCATACTTCACATATGGAATCTTGTGAGAGACCTTTCATCGGATACCAAGAAATTTGAACCTTTGACCTTGGAGTTTAAACCTCTTTTTAAAAAGCAAACCTTGACCACAACTACTTGAATTGAAGGATTGGGGTTAGGGCTTTCATACTTCACATATTGAATCCTTGTGACAAGATCATTCATTCTTGATTGGATACCAACAACTTTAACCTATTGACTTTGGAATTTTGCCTACATTTTAGAACCTTTAACCCTGAAAATAACTTTTGAACGGTTAGAGCTAGGGCTTTCATACTTCACATATGATATCCTTGTGACAAGACCTTTCTTTAGAAACCAACAACTTTGAGTCTTTGACCTTGACCCTGGAGCTTGACCTATCAGCCGCTGATAATTCGATTTAGTAGATAAATAGAATAATTCGAACCGCTGACAATCCGAAAAAGTATATAAAGAGTCATTTTAACGACGGACACTTCGAAAAAGTAGATAAAGAATCATTTGAGTCGATGACAATCCGATATAGTAGATATTTAGAATCAATTGAGCCGCTGACAACCCGAAAACAGTAAAAACATGGAATCATTTGAACCGCTGACAATCCGATAAAGTAGATTCATAATCATTTGAGCCACTGACAATTCGGAAAAGTAGATACAGAATCATTTGAACCGCTGACAATCCAATAAAGTAGCTATATAGAATCATTTGCGCCACTGGCAAACTGAAAAACTAGATAAAGAATCGTTTGAACCGCTGTCAATATTAGATAAAGTAGATTTAAAATCATTTTAGCCACTGACAATCCGATAAAGTATACGTATTTACAGAATCATTTGCGCCGCTGCCAAACTGATAAACTAGATAAAGAATCATTTTAACTGCTAATAATCCGATAAAGTAGACAACGGATGACTTCAGTCACTGACTATCTGATAAAGTAGATACAGAATCATTTGAGTCGCTGACAATCCAATAAAGTAGATACAGAATCATTTGAGTCGCTGACAATCCAATAAAGTAGATACAGAATCATTTGAGTCGCTGACAATCCAATAAAGTAGATTTAGAATCATTTGAGTTAATCACAATTAATCAGATTAGATACAGAATCATTTGAGCCGATGATAATCCGATTTATCGAATAGTCACTCAGTAGCTCAAATGATTCTTTTCTACGTGTCAGGGGCTCAAATGATTCTATGTATTCATTTTTTAGGATTGTCAGCGACTCAAATCTTCCTATAAATACTTTATCGAATTTTCAGCGACTCAAATAATTCTTTCTCTTCTTAATCGGATTGTCAGCGGATAATCTTATGTATTTATATTTCGTACTGTGAGTGAGTCAGTTGTTTCTATATGAAGTGTTTCGGAATATCAGCAATTCAAATGATTCTTATCTACTTAATCAAATTGTCGTTGGCTCAAATGAATCTGTAAAGCAATTTTATCGGATTATCTACAGCAGAAAACATTCTGTATTTTTTTATCGGATTGTCAGCGGTTAAAATGATTCTTTATCTTAGATTGTCAGCGGCTCAAATGATTCTATACCTACTTTATTGCATTGATCGGCTATAATGATTTTATCTACATGTATTTACTTTTTCGGATTTTCAGCAGCTTAAATGATTCTGTATCTACTTTATAGGAATGGAAGCGGCTGAAATGATTCTGTATCTACTTTATAGGAATGGAAGCGGCTGAAATGATTCTGTATCTACTTTATAGGAATGGTAGCGGCTGAAATGATTCTGTATCTACTCATCAGATTGTTAGCTGCTCAAATGATTCTGTATCTACTTTATCAAATATTATCAGCTGTTCAAATGATTCTTTATTCGATAAAGTAGATAAGGAATCCTATATCTTGTCAGCGGATGAAATGATTCTTCATGTACTTTATCGCATTGTCAGCGGTTCAAATGATTCTATATAGCTACTTTATTGGATTGTATGCGGCTCAAATGATTCTGCATCTACTTAATTGGATTGTCAGCGGCTCAAATGATTCTGTATATACTTTATCGGATTGTTATCGGCTCAAATGATTCCATATCTATTTATCGGATTGTCAATGGACGGATATTATTTCATAAAAGTCATTGAAACTAATTTTTGCAACTAAAATATTAAATTCGAATTAAATTATAATGTCATATAATATTCTGTAACAGAAGCAGCAGTATTTTCCTCCCAGGGACAGAAAGTGTAGATCTCCGTTCTCTTATCAAGAAAATTGGAGGACACACGGATGGCTATTAGTGGAGTGACAAGACCATCAAAAATTTGAATTTAATGTACCATCCTACCCTATGGTTGATTTGTACTTTTTTGGTCAGATTTATTATCAAGCAATAATTTTTGCCCGGTCGTAGAAAATTCTATGTTCAAAATTTAAAATAAAAGAAGATCAAAGATCAATGAAAGAAATCTGGCCATAATATTGTACATATAAAGAAAAGTTCAAGGAATTCGTAAAAATAATGTATATTTGTATAGGATTTTTTTTAATTCGTTGAATATATTGATTTCATGGAAAAGAAACGAAAAAATGAATAAGAATGCCCGTTTGTCTGTCTGCAACATGAGAGGTTTGTCTTATAGTATTTTATAAATGTAATATTTTTATTAAGCCTTTTTCATCTGATTCATCATTTTTTAAAGAAATTGTTCGACACTTTTAAAAAAAGCTTTTTAGTAAAAATTCTTCTAGAGGTCTTCCTTGCTCTCACACTGAATTTCGGTACTCCGGTCTCATACAAAGGACAGACGACAGAATATTTAATATTATTCATTTCTCTGTCTAAAAGGTCAATTTTTTTTATCAATGGTTGTTGTCTATGATTAGAAAATTTACGTTTAATTTGGAGAACTTTTGAATAAGCGTTTACTCATAGATTAAGCAGGCTATATTGTAGAGATTTTGGGGTTTTGAAAGATTTCAAACCCGTATTGGTGTTAGAGTTGCAATTCTTTGAAAAGGTGTGAAGAGTTAAATTAATGACGTAATACGTTTGCTAGAGCTGTAATTTCTATTCATTGGTTTTCATGTAAACGTACATGTATATCTTTTTTGTTAACTTTTCAAGAATATGTTTCATTTGAAAACTTTTAAAGTAAAAATGTTGTAAAAGAGCTACACTGTAAAAGTAATGATAGTCGATCCTTAAAAATATTCACATTAAACGCATGTCGTGCGTGGCTTTTTTTCATCTGCTGACTTGAAATAGCTTTGAATTGTGAAAAGGCTGATTGCCTAAATACTCAGTAGTCTTTGTCGTTTCATCAGAAATCATTGTCTGATAAATCTTTCTAACGCTTAAGTAAACATTCGTTATTAATATTGCATGAAATAATTGTATTGAATATATTTTGTTGAAATTAACGCAGTTTCTATAACAAAACATGTTTTTTTAAAGGAGGGGGGGGGGCAAATAATATTCCTGATTAATTTTGCATTGTAAATTTAAATACCTCTAGCTATCCTATCACTCACAAATTAGTATTTTTTATGATTAATAATTAATCTTAGAAAAAGAATATTATCAGCAAGTAAAATAAACGACTTAAATAGCCCCCTCCTATTCACTTTCATAGCAAATTAAAAAAATTTGACTTGAGAAAACTCTACGACCGGGCGAAAATGTATGAGGAGGGATGTCTCTTTTATAAAATATAACTTTCAGCTGTAGGGTATGCCGGTCCACTAAACTCGAAAACTAAGCATCTTTTTCTAGGATTGTCACTCCACTTATATGCACATGGATAATGTATGACTTTGGTAGATGTCGTTCTTATGAATTAGGGATTAGTTATATGCAAACACAGCTACTTATGGGTAGTGAGTGATATACAACTTCCCAGGTAGTCTAGTGGTTAGGATTCCGCGCTCTCACCGCGGCGGCCGGGGTTCGATTCCCCGTCTGGGAATATTTTTTTAGGTCACCTGAGCCGAAGGCTCAAGTGAGCTTTTCAATTTCTGATCACATTTTGTCCGTGGTCCGTCCAGCTGTCCGTGTGTAAACTTTTCCCAATTTCGACTTCTTCTCAAGAACCACTGACCAATTTTGACCAAATTTGGTACAAAGCATCCTTGGGTGAAGGGGAATTGAAATTGTTGAAATGAAGGGCCAAGTCCCCTCACAAGGGGAGATAATCAAGAAAAGACAAAAATACTCGTAGGGTGGGGTCATTAAAAAATCTTCTCAAGAACCACTGGGCCAGAAAAGCTGAAACTTATGTGGAAGCATCCAGGGGTAGCATAGATTCTAAATTGTTCAAATCATGACCCCCAGGGGTAGGGAGGGGCCACGGTGGGGAATCAAGGTTTTACCTAGAAATTATATAGGAAAAATCTTTGAAAATCTTCTTCTCAAGAACCACAGGGCCAGAATAGCTGAAACTTATGTGAAAGCATCCTGGGGTAGTGTCGATTCTAAATTTTTCAAATCATAACCCCCGGGGTAGGACGGGACCACAATTGGGAATCAAAGTTTTACAAAAAATATATAGGAAAAATCTTTGAAAATCTTTTTCTCAAGAACCACTTGGTCAGAAAAGCTGAAACTTGCGTGGAAGCATCTTGGGGTAGTGTAGATTTCAAATTGTCTAAATTATGATCAGTGGAGTAAGGTGGGGTCACAATATATGACAGACATCGATATATGTTCACAAATGTACGATTATTACTGATTAATTATCTGATGTTATGTGTACATAATCGCCTGCTTTTGTAGATACGGATATTATTTCATAAAAGTCATTGAAACTTATTTTTGGAACCAAAAAAAAAAATTAAATTCGAATTGCATTATAATGTCATATGATATTTTGTAACAGAAGCAGCAGTATTTTCGACCCGGGGACAGAAAGTGGAGATCTCCATTCTCTTATTAAGAAAATTGAAGGACACACGGATGACTATGCACATGGATAATGTATGACTTTGGTACATTTTTTTAAATGAATAAGGGATTACTTATACGCATACTAAGCTACTTATGGGTAGTGAGAAATACAGAACTACCCAGGTAGTCTAGCGGTTAGGATTCCGCGCTCTCACCGCGGCGGCCGGAGTTCGATTCCCCGTCTGAGAATATTTTTTTTTTAATTTGTATGCCCCCATAATCGAAGATTCGGGGGTATTTACTGAAGTTTTTGTCATGTCTGTTCGTCTGTCCGCTTGTCTTTGTCCGCATAAACTTTAAACTTGCCCATAACTTTTGATTTAGTGGAGCCATGACTTTCCTATTTCACGTGTATTCCTGGTGAAAAGACCTTTCAATGGGTACCACCAAATTTGACCTAAGCATTTGATACACTTTTACACAATAATTCCAAACTTTGGCCATAACTTTTGAACGGTAGATACTAAGACTAATTCATACTTCACAAATGTATTCTTTGTGACAAGACCTTGAGTTCCATTAGACCTTGGAGATTTTCGAACTTTAACCTCAGTCATTTTGAACAGTGAGGGCTAGGGCTTTCACACTTCACATATGTAATCCTTGTGAAAGAACTTTCATTGGATACCAAGAAATTAGACCCTTTGACCTTGGAGTTTAAACCTCTTTTTAAAAAGCAAATCTTGACCACAACTACATGTATTGATTGATTGATTGTATATTGTTTAACGTCCCTCTTGAGAATTTTTCACTCATATGGAGACGTCACCGTATGCCGGTGAAGGGCTTCAAATTTAGACCTATACTCGGCACTCAGGGCCGGTTTAGGGTTAGGACTTTCATACTTCACATATGATATCCTTGTGACAAGACCATTCATTCATGATTGGATACCAACAACTTTAACCTTTTGACCTTGGAATTTGACCTACATTTTAAAAATTTTAACCTTGGCAATAACTTTTGAATGGTTAGGGCTAGGGCTTTCATACTTCACATATGATATCCTTGTGACAAGACCTTTCTTTAGAAACCAACAACTTTGAGCCTTTGATCTTGACCCTGGAGCTTGACCTATCTTTCAAAAGCGTATCCTAGCTTATAACTTTTGAAAAGGTGGTGCTGGGGCTTTCATATTTCAAAATTTTATTTTTTGAGAGAAGACCTTACTTTTGGTACCAACTTAATTAATTTGCATTTAGGAAAAGTTTATTCTTAGCTATGCTGACATTCAGGGGCATCACTGTTTCACAAACGCATCTTGTGTTTTTTAATGAGATGAAAAACATACAAGCTTTCCAAACCAAAAGGTAGAGAAGCCATTTTTTTACCATTATTGTAAACAATACAAGAAAAGCAATTTTCTGAGGAAAAAAAATAATTTATTACAAAATCTGAGATTTTATTTGTATTGCAATCTCATTCACTCGAAAAGTTTATTGCAGCAAACACATAAAATGGCTTTGAGTTTCATGGGCTCTTCCGACTAAAAAAAAACTATAAATGGTTAGGTTTGGTAGATATTCCAATTTCCTGAAGTAGAAAATCAGTAAATATTTTGCATTATACCTAGTGAATAGACATTGGAGATTTAAATATCAGTTTACTTATATGTACCTTTAATTTTCTTATATAAAACTTCATGTATACATATTTTATTTTAAACTAAGGAACTTTATCATCTACATAAAGTTTACAATAACTAGTGGAATGTGCATAAAAATCATATATTTTGAAAATGGTCCATAAATGTAAAAATGTTGAACAGATAATGACAATAAAAAAAATATCAGCAACAAAAAAAACTACAAAGAAATATAAATGCATGATTTTTATTTCATAAATAGGTCTACTGCAATTTGATATGTTCTTTATTATTACTAAAAAGACAGATCATTTTTGTAAGCTTTTTAGCTAAGAGATTTTAGTGCATAGTTAAATAAGTTAAGTAGAGAATCATAAAAAAATAATTTATACATATCACACAATTCTAAAGAAAAAGCCCTCTTCCGAGCTAGTGTAAATGGGATAAGGGACTTTGTTTACACTTTGTCATCTGTATCAAGTCCCTTGTCTTTATAAAGCTGCCCCATGACATCAAGTAAGGGTGACATTGTCTCTAAATACACATCCATATCATTTACCACCTATAGAAAAAAAAATGGAGCTTCACATGTCAACCACTTAATTGAAGCAAATTTATGTTTAATCCATTTATGGTTCAGTTGAAATACATCTGCTATATCCTATAGTATAATTTCTACTGAAAAGATTTACAGGTATGCCTTAAAAAATTGTACCCAATATTATTTACACAAAAATATGTACAACTGACACACCGTAAAATTCATAACATGGGGCAATATTTTGAACATTAATTATATTTAATCAGCAATGTTTCTAGTTTAAGATCTGTAGCACACTAGTCTGAAAAAAACCAGAAGTCTCTGTCGAGACTATAGCTTTACTGGTTTGTACTTACACATCTATAGTAAAGAAAGAAAAAACTAGCAGCTGGGACATAAAACTTTACAAAAGCAATGAATAGAATAATGACAAAAACCGATATACAGAATTATGTATCTTAGTGTAGTCTACTTGTGTGCCAAGTTATTTTGAAATCAGACCAAAACTGTAGGAGGAGTAGCATTTTGAATGATTTTCACATAAATTTCTATTTTTAGTAACCACAGCAACACCATTCATCGAAATCAAAAACTGATATATAGAATTATGTATCTTAATGTAGTCTACTTGTGTGCCAAGTTATATTGAAATCAGACCAAAACTGTAGGAGGAGTAGCATTTTGATTGATTTTCACATAAATTTCTATTTTCAGTAACCACAGCAACACCGTTCATCGAAATCAAAAACAGATACACAGAATTATGTATCTTAGTGTAATTTACTTGTGTGCCAAGTTATTTTGAAATCAGACCAAAACTGTAGGAGGAGTAGCATTTTGATTGATTTTCATATAAATTTCTATTTTTAGTAACCACGGCAACACCGATCATCGAAATCAAAAACCGATATACAGAGTTATGTATCTTAGTGTAGTTTACTTGTGTGCCAAGTTATATTGAAATCAGACCAAAGCTGTAGGAGGAGTAGCATTTTGATTGATTTTCATATAAATTTCTATTTTTAGTAACCACGGCAACACTGTTCATCGAAATCAAAATCTGATACAAACAATTATGTATAATAGTGTAGTCTACTTGTGTGCCAAGTTATATTGAAATCAGACCAAATCTGTAGGAGGAGTAGCATTTTGAAAAATTGTTTACAGATGGACAGACAGACAGACAGACGGACGGAGGACGGACGCATTACTATCGCATAAGCTCTTCTGGTCTCTGACCAGTAGAGCTAAAAATTGGATGGACGACCAGAGAGGTACTTTGCCTTCCATTGAAAGAGTGTTTACCAAGGTATTTATTGCACACGAAAAAATGTGATGTACGTTTCTCACAATTTTTTCAGACTTGCAAACTTCAGATCTCCAGCTACAATGTTTCTTGAACGTTAGCTATTAAGTTTGTGACAATGATTAATGGATAATATATTAGACATTCTTACCTGTTCCTCCATTCCTTCTTTTCCTAATGCCATCTTCAATAAGAAATCCTTCCTGTATGGTGCAAAACTAGAAACTCCCTTCAATATATTGAATTATAAATTAGATTTCAGTTAACAAACAGATGCCTAAGCAGTTTAAAGGCATTTTAATTACCAGTACTCTGCACAAATGCATTTCATGTATTTTATTTCATTTTGCACACTCTACTGCTTAGTTTTATTTAAAAAAAAAACAGCTTCACGCTTTTTACATAAGTTCATCATGTTCATTCGATTAATTTAATAAAGAAAAAAAAATTGTTTAAATTTTAAGATACACAATATTGTGCGACACAGTACTTTAAAATGTCTTACAGAGAACACTTTTTTGACAATAAATCCGTGGTATTTTTTCAGAGTGGCTTCGTAAGCAGCAGTGATGATTTGTTTCATACTCTCCTCTTTACTTCCTCCTTTGTATTCCTTTATTAATAACTGCATGAATGTTCGTAAAAAATTCAAACCTCTGAAAACAAATGTATGCTAGTTTAATATCACAATTTTTTTTTGTTTCTTCATTATTATTTTTGTGATTAAGAAGAGTTCCAA